TGCATGCCGGTCAAAGTACCTGCGCCAATAATGAAGGCCCCCAGATGGTGATGCTGGAGACGCTTTCTGGCCTTAGGCGAAGGGCTTAAGGCGGCCATTCTTAAGGCTGCACATGGTCCTCTTGGGACGTGATTGATTGATTCCGGACTGTCGGGCTGCTGGCCGAAATGGATTCAGAACGACACTGGGCAGCTTGGGACGTGATACTGATTATTCTGAGTTTAAGACTTCACGGGTTCGTTTCGTTTCGGGTTTAAGGGCTACTCCGTCGAAGGATTCCGTATGAAGGTACAGCATGTGGTCTTCCACCGGCTTGCTTTACTTGGGGGCCCCTTCGAATGCCAACCCCAAACGGGGGACCCGGCACTCTTCGAGCCCTTCAGGTGACTTTTACAGCCTGATTAATGTGCCCCAATCAGCCAGGGAAATAAAAGGCTAAACTTTCAGAATTTCTATTAAACAACAATAACCCAATAAGTTTAAAAGGTGGATACCGGGGAACTAAGCTGGTTAATGAACCCTATATATATATATATATATCAGAGTCTCAATGTTCTTGCTGTGATTTTGTTCGGGAAGAGGGGTGTATAAATCAGGGGTCTACATCGTAACGAACCCTTGTAACACATTGAACTACAACACTTTAGCACGAATTCGAAGTCCTGTTCCATGCTAAGCCCTGAACCCCTTCGGGAAAGAGTCTATAATTCAAAACACCCTCAAGCAAAAAGACTCCAAGGCAATACCCTAGGCCCACATGGAAATCAAATGGACCAGGCCTACTGCAACTTCTGCCTCAACATGGGGTTTTCCGAAATTAGGGGACCCTAATATACTTACTACCCTAAACAGTAGGATCCTTATTATAAGGACCCCAAAATAAGGTACCCATTATTTCGGAAACTCCTACATGATGCCGCCTCGTAGGTAGCTTGCTACCTGGCTCGCACGCAGAGAGCCGCCGGGCGCGGGGTGGTGCCCCTGGGCCTGGTGCTAGGGTTTCTGTTTAGGGCTTAGGGTTTAGGGTTTAGGGTTTAGGGTTTAGGGTTTAGGGTTTAGGGTTTAGGGTTTAGGGCTTAGGGCTTAGGGCTTACATAGGGGCTAGGGTTTAGGGGCTTAGGGTTTAGTTTAGCTTGGCATTGTGCCCTCGTAGCTGTCGTAGTCGGTGCCGTTGATGTAGATGATAAGGACCTGCTATGTTCGAAGCAGCATTTCTCGCAAAGTTCAGGCGTCTTGTGCATTGAGGGCTATGCATTCGCACAATAGCTATTAAGACGCAGATGCCTTCCCCTGCATGTGTTGGTGCTGCTGCCGATGTCAACACTGTACAGTCATGACAGCGGGTGGTGCGACAAATTCATCAATAATAGTAGAAATAGCATAATAAATCATCATCATCATGATAGTTATGGTCGTAATATTTTTTAGTATTAATTCTTTGGGAGCATGCCTCTGCGAAAGTCTGTACGTAGCGCTTGTAGAGAGTGGCACTACCACACTAGGAGGCAGCTGTATGGATGCACCAAGGCGCTTTCAAAAAAGGGCTCCGCTTGCAACCATGCCTGTACACTATGGCCCTGGAAGTTCTGCATGTGCTGTACTATCTGCTCATGCCAAAAGCGACATGCCTCGATGGGGATGCGCATTAAAATCTCTTCAATTGCTGAGAGGTGGGATCATTCATGGGTTTCCCATGCTTTCCACACTTTCCCGGTGCCTGCATCAGCAAGCCCCCATCGAATTAGCCGGCCGGCTTCTCCAATCTGTTGCAGACTGTCCATGGCATGCCAGGATGCCAGGAGACCAGACTTCGGGTCAAGAATCAGCAATCGCAGCTCTTTGTTGAACTGGTCCACATTCCTGCTATTTCGTGCTATTTTGTTGAGAATCAGCTCTTTGTCCGTGTCGGAAGATGCGTGCATGCTCCGAACGTCCAAGTTCTCCAGAGCGTGCGCATGTTGCGTGACAGTGGCTTTGGATCTAAGTTTCAACACCTGATTCAGTCGCAGACGCTTGGCTTCTGCTATCTCGGCGACACACCATGCACGCTGAAAAAGGTCAAGAGATTGATCAACTGCAATGACTTGCCTGCAGCCTCCTACCGTGGCGAGGTGGTACATCATGTCATCAAACTTGTTGATCTCCGAACAGGAGCTTCGGCCGTCCGGATCAGTGATATTCACGCAACTGCAGTGACACACGGGGTGCAGCTCATTGGTGAGAGGATCACGGTCGTAAGGATTGCTGTGGCATATACTCATATGCTGGTTCACTGCAAACGCGCAAATCCAATACGTGCCATCGAGGCAGCTGCATCCTGCTAGGATCTCACGCAGGAAAGCGGGATCTTCCTCCAGCAAGTTTGTTGCCAAGCCAAAGCTGCTTTCCTTCAAGGCATCAGAGATGATGGCTGCCAGCAGATCGCGAAAGCAGTTCCCCCAACTGTGCGTCACCATGACGTGGGGCCTTTGAGCACCGTCCCTATTCAATGCTGAGGCTGCATATGCACATTCGCCAGTGCTAGTAAGAGGAATAATTGACCTGCGAACCACGTCTCTGGTCTTGTGTTCCGCCGGAACGTATTTCCAATCTGGCATGGCGTAGAGGTGCTCCTGGTAGAAATCCAACAGGCTGCGCAATGTCATGCCCCTCAAGGACAGCTCTTCCACCTTCGCTTTCCATTCGCTACCCCATTCGCTTTCCACTGAAGGTGTTCTGGGATGCTCGTCCCGGGCGGCTTCGGGGCATTTGCAGCTAGACGTATGGTCTGAGACCACCCTGTGACTGCCAGACAGGAGCAGCAGAGTCATGGCCAT